GTGAAAACTGGATTTTAGTTGACGTGTTAGGGAATAAAGGAAGGTGTAGCGATAGTGCACACACCCCTCCACTCTGAGGTCTCGAGTTCAATACATGTACTCAGCATCGCATGTGAGTAAGATTTTTGTTGTCCTTGATTCCTGGGGTTTTCTGCACCCCCTTTTCCCCAATACAAAACCCAACATGATAAACAGCAAAATTATTTCTGTCATGCTCCCTTGGGTTCTCCAGTTTTTCTCTCTCCACAAAACCTATACTTTAACCAGCTGAATTCCAGTCTGTGAGTTAACCGTGCCCTGACTTTCATCAGCCGATGTTCTTTAAGGGTTCAATCTGCGAGTTAGCTGTGTCCTGACTTAATTAGAACAGCCCAGAGTTTATTTCAGGGCACAATCTGTGAGTTAGCCATGCCCTGACTTCGAACAGCCCAGAGGTTGTTTCAGGGTTCATTCTGTTAGTTAGCCGTGCCCTGACTTAGATCAGCCCAGAAGTCGTTTCAGGGTTCTATCTGTTAGCTAGCCGTGCTCTGACTTAGTTCAGCCCAGAAGTCGTTTCAGGGTTCTATCTGTTATTTAGCCGTGCCCTGACTTAGATCAGCCCAGAAGTCGTTTCAGGGTTCTATCTGTTAGTTAGCCGTGCTCTGACTTAGATCAGCCCAGAAGTCGTTTCAGGGTTCATTCTGTTAGTTAGCCGTGCCCTGATTTAGATCAGCCCAGGGGTTGTTTCAGGGTTCTATCTGTTAGTTAGCCGTGCTCTGACTTAGATCAGCCCAGAAGTCGTTTCAGGGTTCTATCTGTTAGTTAGCCGTGCCCTGATTTAGATCAGCCCATAAGTCGTTTCAGGGTTCGATCTGTTATTTAGCCATGCCCTGCCTTCGAACAGCCCAGAGGTTGTTTCAGGCTGCAATCTGTTAGTTAGCCGTGCCCTGACTTAGATCAGCCCAGAGGTTGTTTCAGGGTTCGATCTGTGAGTTAGCCGTGCCCTGACTTAGAACAGTCCAGAAGTTGTTTCAGGGTTTGATAGCATTGAAAGTCTTTTAAAATCAGTGCTTTCCGATTACAACTTATTTGGATGCGTCCAGAACTAGATTTTTAGATACTATATTGGGCTACTATCTCTAAGCGTTCACCTGCCTGTTGTGCTCTTTAGCTCGTCACAAGAACAAAAGACTTAGGTATAGAACGAAAATAACTTTTCGGAATAATCTAGACAAAAAATACGAGTCAAATTTAGAGTGTTTTGTCGAAGGAACTCAACATCTGGAACCTTCCACGTATGTTCTGACTCAATGTTTCTCACGAATCTTGTACTGTTTTAACGAGTATGTGTTAGTTTGTTAGTCTTGGAACCCAGTGTCGAGTGTTGGGGTGTTTGCATTAGAATGATGGATGTGTTAAGATGTGTTGTAAATGTAAACACATGCAATGCTTGCGCCAACGAATCTTGAACAGCTTTGAACAGTAGAGTGCAAACAATATAACCGTGAAACTTTAGTAATACTAAATAGCACAATTTCATGCAAATTCCATCGTTTTTYATTGTTTAATAAGCACTATTTTGTACTATTTAGTAATTAGTGTTTCACGGATTAGAGTGCACGCACTAAATCCGTGAACATTAATTAGTACTAATTAGTACTATTTCATACAGAATCCTTTGTTTTCTATTGTTTATTTATCACCATT